CATTGCATTTAGATTGTATACAAGTTTTCCTTTTTTAAATGAATGAACATTTACATTCATTCATTTAGCCTGCGCTCATTTTTTTCTGAAAGTAAGCTCCTTGTTTTTTTTAGAAACAACAAATCCCGCATATCATTTCCCTGTTACTTCCCTGCTGTAATTTGTAAATACCAAGCGAATTAGAGCTGAAATTTAAGGAAAAAGGCCATGCCAGTCACGGCAGCGTTGCTTTTTTCTCCCGTCACTTTGCGCAAGAGGGAGTCTGTCAAACTAATGCTAACGCTGATGTCTAATAACATAGTTATAACGTCATAAAAAGATGTTTTCCTCCGAAATCAGTCTAACTTAAAGGGGCTATTTCAAAGAGTAAACACTGTTGTAGGCTCAAGTAACCACTTTTCTCATTCATTCAATTTGATGCTGCAAAAGCAGGTATGCTCCGGCTCATATATTGAGGAGGGAGGGAACTATGTCCTCGATTGGAGAGACAAACACATCTGAGCATGCACACATGCACGTACCCCCACTTAACTCACATACACGCATGCACACACACACTCTATATTGGCAGCCTATTAGTGTGGCTCAAATAGAAACCGTACGGTGCCGTGACAGGGATGAAACTCTATGCTGCTGGCTGAACCTGGCTCTCCACTGGGACCACGGGAGCCCAAATCACCATTACTGCCGAGAACGATGTGCATTCATGACATCTGGTTTAAAAGAGTCTCTCTAGACAAAACGCTGTCTTTGAGTCTCTTTATTCAGCATTGATTTCTTATCGCAGTCTTGGCCGGTTCTGTCTTTGTGTTTTCCAAGCCGCTCCGTTTTTATCTCTATTCCATTAACACGTCTTGCTCATCTTCATTGTAGACTGTCTCTGTCTCACTTCCCACGGTGAGCAGTATTGATCAGTATCAACAAACCAAGGCAGTAAAATTAATTCTCCACCCTGCTGACACCGAAAGCGATACTCACCGGACTCATGACACACATTTCAACTTCATGAGTTTAAAGAGTCAGCAGCTCGACAAAATACATGTAGTCATTATGCATTCAAGCCCTTTCAAACCATTTTGACATGGAAATTAGAAAGTTTACCAGGGGAACGCCACATGGGGTAAAAGATTTCAGGAATAGCAACTCTCTAAAGACTCTTATAACTAGAATCAGACTGTTGTGAATCAGCCAAGTTCCACCACAAATTCAGTTATTTTTTATGTGCCTCTATAATTATTAAAGCAATAGTTCGTCCAAAAATGAAATGTAGTATATACTCATTCTCATGTTGTTCCAAAAATGCTGTATTTTTCCATGGGACACATTTTTTAAATACTATTCACATAGATCTTTCTTCCAAATCAGCTTCAGTGCTTATTAGGCATCAGTAACATCAAATGCCATAGGCTCTTGAGTGTCTCATAACTTAATGATGCCAAACCTGCACCATAGGTGACATTTAATTCAAAAACCTTGTAGTTTATGACATAATTTTCATTTAATTAAGCGTTTTTGTACCTGATAATGGTAAAAAAAAAAATTTTATTGTGAATGTTTTGTCTGAAAATAACAGTGTTCAACAATTAAAATAAATAAAGTGCACACTCTAAGAAAAGTCTGTAAAAATATGCCATAATGTACCATGTTAATATGAAGGAAAGATATCATTTTTATAAAGAATATATCTCTTTGGATTTGAGACTTTAGTCTTTGCAACTTTACAGATCTTCTTTATGCACCAAGAGCTTGTAACACTCCAAAGAGAAAGGAAAAATTGAAATCGCATCATATGACCCCTTTAACAGAAATTGTACAGATAATTTTCTGCCAAGACATTATCTGTTTTTCTACGTATTTTTCCATACATATTTTGTTTGCTTGGGCTGCACAGTAGGACTGACTGATAGACACATGGGACCAAATTCTGCGGTCAGGAGTTATTTTATTAATATTCCATATAAAACACATTTCTGAGTTCTCTGCTTCTATGACCTGGCAGTAACAGGATCAACATTAAGCAGGACCATGCAAGAACAGATTCATTATATGCAGGGACATCCATACTCAGTAAAATCTGAAATGCATGAGAAATGAAACTCGCAGTAGAGGAAAATCAGTCTGTGCAGATCTCTATATTGCCGTGAAAACTAAAACTGTCTAAGTGAGAGCTCATTTTCAATGCATTTTCAGCATACTGCGAAATATCATCATATGTTGTTTGTGTACTTTTTTTTGTGTGCTTTTTTTTGCATTTTAATTGACAGATTATTTTAATACAACTTTTAAATGGTTTTAAGTCATCTTGCGGCCCCCTTGCAAGCTTGCTGAGTTGTTCCAGTTGAAAACCACTAACCTAGAGCTATAAATCACATAACACCACCCTGGCAACCACACAGAAACCCGTCGCATTGTGATGGTGAGTTTTGCATGGCTCATGCCATATTTAGGGATTTTATTGAATCAATGTCCTGTGGTGGCATAGAGTGTCTGAGTGTTGTATATGGTGCAAGACAGCAGACCTGTGTTCATAATCAGAGGGGCTGTTGGGAAGAGCTTGAGGTGGTAGACCATAGCAGATGGACCAAACACATCAAAGAACATTCAGTGGCCAGTTTATTTTATACACACACACACACACACTTCTAATTTGCTTTTTTTTCTGAGGAGAAAAACATTCCACCCAAAAAGACCTCTAGATCTAATGCTAAAAGCTGCCATTTTCTGACAAGTGACTAAAATCCCACAATACTGACAGAATTCTGAGTTTACATCCCACAATTCTGTCTTTTTTTACTTAGAATTCTGAGTTTACATCTTGCAACTCTAATTTTTTTATTATGAATTTTGATTTTACATCCTCAGAAATCTGAGATTACAGTACATCTCGCAATTCTGATTTTTTTACTCAGAATTCTGAGTTTAAATCCCACATTTCTAATTTTTTTATTATGAATTTTGAGTTTACATCCTCAGAATTCTGAGATTACAGTAAATCTCGCAATTCTGATTTTTTTCCCTCAAAATTCTGAGATTACAGTACATCTCGTAATTTTATCTTTTTTCACAGAATTCTGAATTTACATCTTGATTCTAAATTTTTTATTCAGAATTTTGAGTTTACATCTCGCAATTCTGATTTTTTTACTTAGAATTCTGAGTTTATATCTCACAGTTCCTACTTTTTCTCTGCATGTGTATTTGGTCTGGTCAGGTGTCTAAAAATTTGGGGAAAATAGTCAGAATTGTGCGATGGAAACTCACAATTTTGAGATGTAAACTCTCAATTCTGAGAAACAAAGTCTGAATTGTAAGAAAAAAGCCATTTGTTGGGGGGGGGAGGGGGGATATACTGTGGGTGTACTGTGGAATATAAGCCAAGATAAATTGGCCATGGCTTGTTAAATCACAGCCTATTGAATGTCTCTGCATGGGACAGCAGAGCTCAGGTGTGCTAGGCTCAGTGCCAGGCGTCAGAAAAGCACAGTCTGTTTGCCATTAATGTGGAGTGCCGGGAAAGAATCACATTGCTGGCAAAAAGCGTAGTGTGCTTGCTCAGTGCTTACTGCATCAATGATGGGAAAATCTACTGGATAAATGAGGTGTGATTATCTTTTAGCCTCGTTTCCCCTGTGTGGTTTGGCCAAGACTTTATTTTCCTACAGGTGCTGTGCATCTGCTGCTGACTGCGTTAGCCTTGTGTTCATCCATCAATGATATTTAAACTGTTACATGATGAATGATTAATGAAGTGCCAGTGCAAATTAAGGCCAAACGCTCAATACAACCCATGTGAAAATGTGGTGTACTTAATTGTTTGCAATGTACACGTAAAAGTATATTTAAAAAAAAATTGCAGATAATAGAATATTAATTAAATGAAAGGCCACTTAAGTGTAAGTGTAGTTTACTTTCATAGCTATGTTTCTTAACACACTTAGAGCCAGTCCACACGGAGACGCGTTTAGCTGTATACGTAAAAAATTTTGTATCGTATCAGCGTTTCGTCCAGACGGATCCGGCGTTTTGGGAGCCTGAAACCTCCGTTTTTAGTGTATCTCTGTGGCAGAATTACAGCGCCACTTACTGGTCTGGCATGTATACTACATCGTTTTGAGTCGGTTTCAGTGGTTTCGTGTGTACGCAGATATTTCTTGAGACGACGCCGTGTTTATGGAATTTTTTTTTAGAACGAGGGGAAAAAAAGATGGCTCTGGCTTTGTGTGGATGTGGCCTTAAAAACTGCACTTTGTAATAATGTAAAAATGTAACTAATGAGTTAATTAGTTAACATCAGGAATGACTAATGAAAACAATCAGAAGAAACAAACAAGAAACTAGGTCAAATGATAGGCAGACAGACAGACAAAGCATACATGTTACAATTGTATTGTAATGTGTTATTTATTACATTTAAGTTAATATATTTTAAATGTACTAATTTGCAATTTCATCATTACAAATGAGCAATTACAAATATATTTAAATACCTGTCATGGAAGTTTCATATATATATTACAGTATATATTTTAGTTTTTCATAAATGCTTGTCAATACATTCAGCAGTACATCTTAACCATATTTCAAAGGCAAGAGAAGTATTTATGAAATTTCATATAAAGATGTACTTAAGTCCTACTGTAGTGGGTCAAAACAAGCATCAAGTGTCTGAAAACATTACATTTAGTTCCCACTTAAGTATATTATTTTAAAGTACATTATTTCTGTAAATACATTGATAATATTTGGAGTAGAAACAATTTAAAAGAAACTGCAAATAACACACTGAATTAAAAGTGGGATTTTGAAGAAAGCTTACACAAAAAAAATAATTTTTTACAGTATACCTTTTTTTAAAAGTATGCAGAAGGATACTTCTTTTTCCCAAGGGAACGTTTTACTGCCGAAATGACACTTCATTTTGGGAGTCTGCAATGCACAGCCTGACACATCGGCTTTTTTAATGAACATCTGATCTAATGTTTGTTTTCTAATCTTCAAAGGGGTTACTGGACTCGTTCAACTGGATGAGAATGGCGATCGCGAGATTGACTTTGCTCTATGGGACATGACCGACACGACTACAGGAGTTTATCAGGTACAGAGGCCTTCATCTGATCATATACTGTATATACCTCTTCACATTTAAAATACATTACTGGCTAAACCCATCTCACCGCTGCTGAAATGATGGCTGTATGTCCTAGATTGTGTCCGTGTATAATGGCAGTCAGAAGCGGATGATTCCGGAGCCAGGGATGAAGGTGTACTGGCTGAAGGGAAGTCCGCCTCCAGATATCCCACTGTGTGGCTTCAAAAATGACAACCCTGCTTGCCTGGCAAGTGAGTGTAGCCCTATATAACTCATATTATAATAGACCTGTATGAAAAGACACCAGACTCCACTATACTCAGCCAAAATCATCTTCCCAGACATATCTTCCCACGTAATAAAATAAATTAGACTCAAATCAATAGTTCGTGTCCTTGCATTTATAAGTAGTCTTTCAATAAGCAAAACAATATACAGTCAGCCAATTCATTTTAGTTTTATTTTAATGCTGTTGGCATATATTTTGTGACAATGACTGGCTGACATTATTCTTCACTTATGAATATTTTTCAGAATATATTAAGTGTACATTTGCATACATTATATATAGAAGTATAAAGTGTTGAATAACTTTTCTCATTATAATTCAGTGTATTGTTTTAAAGTACAATCTGTACTTTATGAAATGAAGATTGTAGTGACCAGTTAATATATGCAAAAATACGTATGTGTAAGCAAGATAAAACACTTGATTAGTTAGTTAATGATTAACGTAATAATTAAATCAAGGCATGTTTCTTGTTGTTTTAATGTAGTTCTGTAATGTTTCTTAATTAAATTTAGGTTAATAACAGATCCAAAAAAAATTGCACACAGCAGTTGATCAATATTGTGAGAGCATGTGAGAAACTCATCACCTGAAAATGATCCTCAAAGAATGAAAAGACATATTCAAAATGGGTTATTCCTGTTATGCAGAACCATTTTAACTTTTAAAAACTAATATGCTTGTGTTTACATGTCTTTCTGTACACCAGGCAGACTGAAATATGCTCTGTTAAAGGAACACTCCACTATTTTTGAAAATAGGCTCATTTTCCAACTCCCCTTGAGTTAGACAGTTGAGTTTGACCGTTTTCGAATCCATTCAGCCGATCTCCAGGTCTGGCGCCGTCGTTCTTGGTACACGATGTAACTACAGAAGAGTCCAGTTTTAAATAGGAAAAATATAGAAACTCTTTGGTCTTTTTTGAGCGAGATGCTAACGGTCTAATCAGATTCAATTATCTATGCTAAGCTACAGCTAAAAGTGCTTCCGCCAGACCCGGAGATCGGCTGAATGGATTCGAAAACGGTAAAACTCAACTGTTTGACTCTAGGGGAGTTGGAAAATGAGCCTATTTTCAAAAATAGTGGAGTGTTCCTTTAAAGCTCTGGCACATCAGATTAATTAGAACTTGATTAATTATACAATATTAAGAAAATTAACAGGAGAGAAATTAAGAGCTAAAGTAAACCATTGGCTTACACAGGGCTGTCAGCTTGAAGTAAATGTTGTAGTAAATTAGCTAACTATACCAAATTCCAAAGAGAAAGGAAAACTTGAAATTGCATCATATGACCCCTTTAAAGATTGAAGGAGGAAACTAGCTAATAGCACAAAACATAACAGAATTCATCAAATCTAATATTTAATACTTCTGGGATTTTGTCCCTTCCTCAAAGATGATAGCATTGATGAACGATTAAAAAGGAATGAAATTGACCCTTCACTATCCAGAGACGTAATCCAAAATACAGGCAACAGGTCAAAACACAGGAAAGCAATCCAAACAAGCAACAAGGCAGGAAACTCAGGCAAGACCAGGGATAATGCTCAGAATCACAGAATAACAAAGTGGCTTTACCGTCACTGTCTTTACTGTCATTTAATTTGTTCTTGCTGAATAAAAGTATTAATCTTTAAAAAAAAAAAAAAAAAAGTGTACTGACCCCAACCTTTTGGTATCTTGCATTAGAGATATTGCGTTAAAAATGCTAATATCATCTTCAATATGAATGTAAGGACACGCATGATGAAAACATGAAAATGTACTGCATATATACAGTAGTAGGAATGACCCATCTGATTAAATTTAGTCCTTTGTCATGAAAAATTGGCGTATTTTGCACTCATCGTGCATTTGGGGTTTTGTCGGTTTCATGAAGTTCTCTTTGAAGCAGATTTCAAACACTGACATCTGTGGCAGAGAAATAAAAAGAAGAGGTCAGAATAAAATAATATGTATGAAATGATTTCAGCAGGTCTGATTATCTTACTGCTGTCTGTGTGATCTCTCATGAAATTCAGATGTGTGGAGATTGTGTTCTTGGTTTTGTTCCTCAGAGACGGTCACCATGCACCAGATGATCTCCATAGTGGTGTGCTTCATTTTTATCATCATCGTAACCGTCACAGTCTTCATATACAGGTCAGTTGAAACCCGTGCAGATAAACACAATGTCTATACTGAGAGCGAGCGACAAAACTAGAGCGCTTTAATCAAACTTTGATTATTAGACATGATGTAACACTACATGTCAGGTGTGCAAATATCGAGCTTTGGGCGATCTGGGTCTGATATTATATCTCTCTGTCTGTCTGTCTTTCTTTCTGCTTTTCTCCTCCTCTATCTGTTCCTGATTTTTAATTAGGGAACTTACTGCCAGACCACGACAGAGAAAGATATAGCACCTCAGTCTACGTCTCCATGACTTCATCACTTTCACTACCATATGTGACCATGTATCCAATGACAATGAAATGCATATGATTTCTATTAAGTTCATGCCAAGAATTGCAGCCAATGGTGGTTGTGCTTTATTAAAAAGTCAAATTTTGAGCTGTTCTCCAAATATGATGTAGATTCTATAACAGTAAATTTATTTTTATTTAATTGCAATTATTTTTCATAATACTTGCATGAGATTATAAAAGAGCTATTTTAAAATTTCATTAAAAACTGTTTTTTTTTAATGTGTTACACATATTTCTTTTTACATTTAGTAGTACTTTCAGAGTTTTCGTAGCTAGCACTTCTAATATGATGCTACCAGTTCAGAGTGATGACCTGCATATGCTGCCATCATATAAATTGCTCAGTTATAAAAAAAAATTATTACACATTATGATGCATTATTACTGGTGGAGAGCCCCATTCAGCTTACACCTAGCTGTGCTTTAGGTAAATATTAAAAGTTAGTTTCACGTTTTACCCAATTTTATCTATTTTATCTGATGGGCTAACAGAAAATGATCAAGAACTCCGCAAAGCCAGTAAATGATATTCAGTGAGGCAGGATATCAAGAGATTTAATTATGATTCCTAACCTAGGACATATGGTAGTGACTAACAGTAGAAATAACAACTGTGTGTTATTGTCATTCTGAAGCATAATCCAAAGACACAGATGGTATATCAATCAAGTAGATTATGTCATCCCTTCAGATATCTCTCACTCACATTAAAGTTGAACAACAGGCTCTCATGGCAATTTGTAACCATTTTACACATTTTGGAGAATTGGTGGCTAATTGGTATGAATTTGTATACAGTCTCATTTGTACGTTTCATATGATCTGCTTGTTCCCCACTGACGGTTTAGGGGTGGGATTTCATGCTTTTATTCTAATCGTATACTTTTGTTCATAAGAAATCGTCATCTTGTAAAGTAGTTATGTTATTCTGTGAGATGGGGTTGAGTTGGAGAGCCCTTCTTTAGACTGTCATATATCTGTGCACCGATGATCTTCTTTTTCTGTGACGAATAGCAAATTCTCCAACAGGTTGCTCTGGCAGATGCTGTTGCTCAGTTTCAAATGACAAAAAGTCCAACTGCAATGTACACATTTCCTATATAGAAAATTATATATGTTTTAATAAGTTGCCTTGTTATTAAAAAGTCCCTGAGATGTCTTGACATGGGAGACACATGGAGATTGCATAAAATTTAGTTTCTGCCACAAAACTCCAGGTTTAATTTCACGAATTAATATTAAAGTAAAAAATTTTTTTAAGTTATATTTATTGGTAAATGTCTTTAAAATATATTGAAATTATTCAAATTCTATTTTTTAAAGGGGCATTTTGTATAATAAGTGCTCAACATGTAACACGACTGACAAAAGAGGCATTCTCTCAATGGAAAATTATATTCATTTTTAATATTCTCCAGGTATTTAGCGTGGCCTTGTGTGAAATGAGAATGAAAATTAGTGAATTAGATCAATTAATTAATATACCATGGTAAGTTGCACACGTTGATTGATGAATTACATTTTTAGATAGAAACCGCACAGCAATTGTAGAGTAATCCAACTATGTACGGAAAATAAGATTGTTTGTTTTGCTCTGTACTATTTGCATGCCTCAGTCATTATTTGATAATCGTGCAAATGCTAATAATAAAACTTTTTTAAGTTCTTTTCCTCTGAAGGATATTTTATCTGGTATTACATGTGCCAGTTGAAAGCTGTTACAGAAATTAATTATTAAGCAACATTGTTACCTAAATTCAGTACACTGTATCCCAGTGCTGACAGTGACACACATATTGATTGTCATATTTAACATTTGTGCCACATAAATGTTGTTCTCTTTCACATTTGTTTGTCTTTATAACAATTTTTCATCTGATGTTTTTCCCAGTTGCATCCCATCTCTCATTGTCCCTCTCCTCTGCTTATTTATCCTCTTCTTTCTTTCTCCCTCGGTCTCTTTCTCTGTCCGTCACTCGGCGGCATCAGGAAGCTGAAGCTGGAGAATGAGTTGACCGCTCAGCTGTGGCGTGTGCACTGGGAGGACATCCAGTGGAGTAACATGGAGAAGGTGCTGCGCAGAGCCTGCAGCAAACTCACCATGTCATTGGTGAGGGGAAACACACACACACACACACACACACACACTGTCATTTCCAATAGTTCCCTATAGTTTGAGTAAACCTGCTCATGTCTTATTCATCCTTCCACACACAGAGAGGCTCTAACTACGGCTCACTGCTGACTATGGAGGGAAACTTCCAGATCTATGCCAAGACTGGCTATTACAAGGTATTAAAGGTTTGGTGGTGAGGGATGGATGGGCCCTGGCCGGCAAATCTTGTTGGCTAATAACTGTTCCCTATGTTTCCTTCCTCAAGGGGGCGCTTGACAGCCCCTCCACTCCACTTTGAATCTCAGGATGTTTTTTGTCTTTTATTGGAGACGTTTTTAAGTAAAATTGTAGTTGCCACTTCATTAGCCTTGTTAAAAAGAAGCGTGTTAAATTTTTTACTTCATCAGAATGGTACGAAACTTGCTATGTGAACACACACACACACACAAAATTATTCACACTTGTGACCGCTTTGGAAATGAATGTGAAACCAATTTCATCCAGTGGAAACAATTGGTACTGCGCTCAAAAGCTTACTGAGAGCTCATTTTTAAGATATCAACCTCAAATTTGGAACACAACTTGTTTAGATTTATGGCTTTGATTTTTATGCAGGTTTAGAGTAAAACAAGTTTTGGAAAATATCTATTTCATATCAAATTTAGAAATAGTGTTTTTGTGCATTTTTCATAATAATAAATGTAAATATATAACTTTCACTTTTTTTCACTTCGACAATAATCGGCCAGGTGTCTTCTTTAAAAAGAGACCAAACTTGAGTCTGACTTAAGCATTAAAGATTTATGACAGTTTAGGTCATTTCATTTTAAAGTCTTTGCTCAAAAAGTGATATAACATGTAATTAGTGGTATAATATATTTTAAATGTACCAAATTGCAACTTCGGCACTACAAATGTGTAATTACAAATATATATTTAAATATATGGCATACAAGTTTCAGTAGAAATTAAATAATATTTTAGTTTAACAAAAATGTTTGTCGGTGAATTCGGCAATGCACTTTAACCATATTTCAAAGACAATAGAAGTAATTATGAAAATACATATAAAGATGTACTTAAGTCCCGCTTAACTGGGTCAAAAAGCACTCTAAAGTTCAACTAATTGCTTTTGATATAAACTAAAATTGTACTTCTTTTTCACAAGGGTTGAACTGAAAATAGAGTCAAAACAGTACGTTATTATTTAGATTCATTCTGACCAATTAGAGAAAATATCTGGTCTACTAAGCCCCGCCCACTTCCATATCTGTTTTGTATTAATTACCATTCTGCCCTTTCGTTTTATTTCTGTGGGTTGTGTGATTCTGCTGCAGGCAATGTGCCGTTTTGCATGTAAATAAATTACATATCCTGCCTAGCAGCAGAAGTGTCAAATAGTGGAAGGGTTCATCTTTAGATCTCCCACAATACCATTGGCGTGCCCTGGCTAATGGACCCATTCTTAATCGGATGTAGTTCCTCTCCAATTAAGCAGAACCCCTGAGGATGAGCGCTATTCATGTCCACATGTCATCATTTCCCCCATTAATTAGGATGGTGCTTAATTAACACATTATGTTGCACTTTTTCTTCTCTTAAATGGTGGGGCATTTATTTATTTTTTTATCCGCCCTCCAGCTCTTTGCCAAGCCCACGATAGCAATCAGGCTGAAACTAATGTGCGTTGATGCCTCTTTTTCCAGGGAAACATAACAGCCATTAAGTATGTCAACAAGAAACGCATCGAGCTCACCAGGAGAGTGCTGTTTGAACTCAAGCATGTAAGTGTGTGTCCGTGCCATTTTGTGCTTTTTGCCAGGTGCCTTAATTAACTTTATATGATGTCCTGGGAGATATTAATAGCCAGGGACTGATGGAAAAGAGAGACTAAACAGCTCTCTCTCTTTGTCCTCTCCTCCTCATGCTGTTCTCCCTCCTCTTTTCCCTTATGCTCTTTTCTGCTCCTATTATAGATGCGTGATGTACAGAATGAACACCTGACACGCTTTATCGGCGCTTGTATCGACCCACCCAACATCTGTATCCTTACTGAGTACTGTCCTCGTGGAAGCTTGCAGGTGAAAACTCACGCACACCACTGCTCTCAGTTACTGCACCTGCATGGATGTATTAATAGACGGCTTGTGTTTATGCCACCCTTTTTGTTTCACCAAGCAGGGCTTAACAATAAGGATTCAAATTTTGATTTACCTTGCCAACATTTTCACTGCATGCACAAACAAACTAATAAATAAATACAGAAGATTAAGTATGAAATAATTATTTAAACTTTTTTTTGTTTGTTTGTTTTTTAAATGTATAAAAACATAAATGCTCACAAATGCGAAATGTCGCAGCTAAAAACGCGTTATTATTTAAACTTTTTTTTGTTTGTTTGTTTTTTAAATGTATAAAAACATAAATGCTCACAAATGCGAAAATAATCTTTACCACTTGCTTCTTCTACCGTCTTAGGGGCTGTTCACATGTCGCGGCTAAAAACGCGTTGAAAACGCTAGGCGCACCGCTTTCTGCTTTTTTCCAAAGCGTTCGGGCGCTTGCGCTCCGGAGGCGTCTGCCGTTGCTAAGCAACCATGACCTGCGCTCTAGACACGGAAGTTTCAGCAAAGGATAAATGGATTTGCAGCACAGTCACATGACCCGCTTGCGGCATTCTGAAAAGTTGAAATGTGTTTATCTCGATGTGGCGCGGACGCGCCTGGAAAAAATGAGCGCGTCGCACTGCATGCGCGTCACTTCCATTATGAGCGCGCCTGCCGCGCGTCTACATTTGAAATAACGAACTTGAGCGCGCAAAAGACGCGATATGTGAACGGCCCCTTAGACAACATTTTAAGACATAATTCTGAAGCCTTCTAGGATATCTTCTTCTAAAGCAGCACTGCATCTTTGTATCTTTGAGATACATTCATGTATCTTTCACACATAAGGCAAACCCAAAATGCAGTGTGATTAGCTCAGTGGAGTGTTATTTATATGCTAGTATTTAGTAATATTTTCAATTAGCTATTCATTTTATATTTTCATTTTTTCAATTCATTTTAATTTATTTTAATGGGGACATCAGATTAAATTTTCACTTATTTGAGCTTTTTATGCATTTAGTTTTCTGGCGTGTCTGTCGGCTCAGAAAATCTGAAAAGAAAACACGCAGCCAGTAATGTTATGGGCTGTCTGAGTCTAAACTGTCATCCAGTGAGATGTTTCAATTTGCAGCTGGTTTCTACATAGATAGCTAGCTATTTGAATAAGACCACCTCTGAACCATAAACGGAGTCCAAGGCATCAATTCATGTGTCTTGTGTCGACACGCCCCACGGAAGAGAGGGGTGGGGTAAGCAGTAGCTTATTAGCATTTAAAGAGACATGCACCGAAACAAGCCACTGTGAACAGAGCTGTTTTTGACAAGGTAAAAAGGGTATTGTTTTACACGACCATTGAGGAATTTTAACCAAAGTATGTTGCAGACATTTCATGAAGACCCTAAAGAATCATACCAACTTGTGGAAAATGGGCATCCGATGTCCCCTTTAAATTTTAGTAACTTTGTTATGCTTTATATATATATATAAAATATATATATATAAAATATAAATATATATAAAATATTTAGTTTTAGTTTTTAGTATAAAAAATAAATAGCATAATAAACAAAGGATAATTTAGCATGATAGATAAATAAATAGATAGATTCAGTCACTTTAGGAGACTGCCTTATGGTGTGTTCAAGTCATGTTGAAAATATCTTATTTACAAGTTGAAGTACATGAACGTTACCATAAAGGCAAGGGTGTAAAAAATGGGGGAAAATGTTTTCGATTTGAATCCCATTTCCTGCATGTACATACATTTAGGGACTATGGTGATACAAAATCCAGGAAATAATTAAGTTGATTAATGATCAGTTCTGCCAAAAAGTATAGTAGGCTACTAAACTATGTATAAGAAAAATGTCTTACTTTCTTTGTTTAATAGGGGCCGATCGCCAAGACTTGAGAGAATCATTTTATAAAGTCGAAAATGTTCACCATTAATGTTTTGAATAATGTTTAAATAATGTGAGACTGAATTTCCACTGTTAAACAAACTTTTATTTCAAACTAACCGCTGTACCTGAAAATATAAAATAAATCACTCGTTGCACAGGACAGAATGTTCTACATCAGTGGTTCCCAGACATTTTAGAGTGGAGTACCCCCTGAGGCATTTCTGCGTACCCCATCTCTTCCACTTAGACTGCACCTTTTCCATTAAAGGACAATATTTGCCCCCTAAATTGACTTTCCAATGCATTTTTTATCTTTACCGCCAGTAGGTGGCGGATCCAGTGAGATGTTTCAATTTGCAGCTGGTTTCTACATAGATAGCTAGCTATTTGAATAAGACCACCTCTGAACCATAAACGGAGTCCAAGGCATCAATTCATGTGTCTTGTGTCGACACGCCCCACGGAAGAGAGGGGTGGGGTAAGCAGTAGCTTATTAGCATTTAAAGAGACATGCACCGAAACAAGCCACTGTGAACAGAGCTGTTTTTGACAAGGTAAAAAGGGTATTGTTTTACACGACCATTGAGGAATTTTAACCAAAGTATGTTGCAGACATTTCATGAAGACCCTAAAGAATCATACCAACTTGTGGAAAATGGGCATCCGATGTCCCCTTTAAATTTTAGTAACTTTGTTATGCTTTATATATATATATAAAATATATATATATAAAATATAAATATCCACTGTTCTACATTAAATATTTAGCTAACAACAGTCTGTTACCTAGCAACAGTATATGTTAAAGTTAGCTCAGTCAACATAGGCTAACATTAACAGGTGTAGACGGAAAATATGATTATTTGACCTGAGCTAATTTACTGAATCAGCCAACTCACATCTCCTTTTTCTTTCTTTCTTTCTTTCTTTCTTTTCATCCATGATGACATTAAAGTCATCTGTTGCTGCTTCTGGCGTTTCATCGCTAACTGAACCGCGATACCTGCTCATTAGAACTTTCAGTGAGCTATATTTATAGTGTGCACGCGACGTTCCTGGACAGTGGGCTTAGAGTTGTCTCTGCACATTCAACAAGGATAAGAAGTATTTTAACAAGAAAATTACACACTTAAGCTATAAACTATGAAAATATAATAACACATAACTGACAGGATGATGTGAGAGAATATAATTAATTCCCATCAACTCTTCTCTCCACACGGACTTTCCTCATGAGCCACGTGTGTGTGTGTGTGTGTGTGTGTGTGTGACCTGTAGGACCTCATGGAGAGTGAAGGAATCACGCTGGACTGGATGTTTCGCTATTCTCTGATCAATGACATTGTTAAGGTGAGTGTTTCACATCAGAGACTCTTCTGCTCTTAATCTCAGGAGGGGAAGGAAAGGGAAAGATATCTTGCTGTTTTAATGATGCTTGTCAAAGAACACTAAAATATAAATTTTTTACTGCAGCAAACTGCTTTGCATTTTTTAAAATATAGTTCTCAGTTAAATTGAGGCTTGCTCATGAGTAACATTTTATTGGGGTGGTTTTGAGACGTGTGTTATTTGTAATGGTTTATGAGGATGTCAATTCCCTGACGGGCGAATTATGACTCCAGAAAGCATACTGCAGTTGAAAAAGAATCTTTAATTAATATTTTCGTGGTTCGGTGTTGGTAAATACGATGGATGCTGTCAGATGTCTTTGTAAGACTGTCATCTTTTCACCACTCAGGGAATGGTGTTCCTCCACAACAGCGTCATTGTCTCCCACGGCAACCTGAAGTCTTCCAACTGCGTGGTGGACAGCCGCTTCGTGCTGAAGATCGCTGATTACGGCCTGGAAAGTTTCCGCAAGGAGAACAACTTGGAGGACATGCACGCTCTCTATGCACGTGAGTACCGTGGCAACGTATAGATACAAATTGCATGCGTGTGAAGATGTAACACCGATCTTTGCGTTCACAGGCAAGTTGTGGACAGCCCCCGAGCTTCTGCGTGCCGACAACCCACCTGTGTGTGGGACACAAAAAGGTGACGTCTACAGCTTTGGCATCATCCTGCAGGAACTCGCCCTGCTGAAGGGCGTCTTCTACCTGGAAGGCCCCTGTCTCAGCCCTAAAGGTCAGAGGTCACACACAGTACTGTGAAGGTGTAATCAATGGTATTTTTTTGTCCAGATCTACTAATTTATTCAAAACTGCATAAAAAATGCAATTCATACATACAATGTTGTGAATACAGCTCTTTGGTGATGAACATGTTTTTCATTTTGGAATTAAAATTCATTTAGATTTTTTGGAAGCCATAATGTAAAAAAATATTAACTGTCCTGATATTATATTGAAGAAAAGCCTCATGTCATGTGCTGCGACTCCCCAAAAGTTGAATAAAATTAATGAATAATATGCAAAAAATAATCATAAAAAATAAATAAATAAATACACAGAAAACATGGAGGCAGACACTTTCTAAAATGCTCACTTGCCTTGGTTTTTTCCATAACACCTTCACATGGGGAAGTCGTGGCCTAACGGTTAGATAGTCGGACTCATAACCCAAAGGTTGTGGGTTCGAGTCTCGTACCGGCAGGGATTGTAGGTGGGGGAGTGAATGTACAGCGCTCTCTCCCACCTTCAATACCACGACTGAGGTGCCCTTGAGCAAGGCACCGAACCCCCAACTGCTCCCCGGGCGCCGCAGCATAAATGGCTGCCCACTGCTCCGGGTGTGTGTTCACGGTGTGTGTGTGTGTTCACTGCTGTGTGTGTGCACTTTGGATGGGTAAATGCAGAGCACTAATTCCGAGTATGGGTCACCATACTTGGCCACATGTCATGTCACATCACATGCACTGTCAAACAAACGGCCCCTGAAGACAACAAAAGTTAGTGACGTGTTCGGCAGGCGCCCTCTTATTCCTCCGGGCACCCGCCTGTGATGTCATGGGCTACGTGAGCCAATGGGATTGGAGTTGTTTCACACGTGCTTCAGACACCAGTCATGCTGGCGTCAGTCCCCATAGTGTCCGCTAGAGGATGCAGCGCGAGTTCCCTCTCGGGGAACCATGGTTACATGCGTTACCCAAAACGTTAGTTGCCAATGCCACATTTCTAAATTTTGTTTAAGTTTAAATATTGTTTAAGTTTATATATGTTTTATCTGATAATTATAATTTATTTCAGCATTATTTCAGTTACCAATTAAATAAGTTGCCAATATCAATTAAACTAATTTTAACTTCATTTTAATAGATTTTTTTATTTTTTATTTCATTGTATTTAACGATAACAACACTGAAATCATCATGAAGAATACAGTTCTATATTTTTAAAGTTATTTTTTTTAACACTCTCAGGGAACAAAAACACATACAAAACTGTCACTGTGGTGGTGGTGGTTTTTAAAGAAGTACTAATATGTACCATTTAGGGCTAAATAAGGTACAATGATGTACGTTTTAGCTTTTGAGTCTTAATGTACTGCCCCAGTGACTGCTTTGTACTTGTTTTTTTTTCTCAGAGTGTATTGTGGATAGTCTTATTTATCACCAAGTGCTGGGTTTGATGTGACTGATGTCATTGGTACTTGCTTGTTTAATAGCGAATTGCAATAGAAAACAAGAGAAATTGTCATATTTGGGTGAACATTCCCTTTTAGTAACAATCTCTGAAAAGCATCACTTGCTGTTTGATCCCTAGAGAACCATGAAAAATTTAATTTCACACTTTCAAGAGAAGTTTTTATTTGTGAACATGAATATTTCAGCATTACGCTCTCATGAGAATGGTTAACTCATTATGCAGGTGAGAGTGCTTTCTCGTTTAGCGCTTTGATGTGAATCAAAACAACATTAAATAAAATGTGTTAATAAGATACAGATTATGCAGTGAATTACACTGGTGGCAGGGGGTACTTTTCCATGTCATTTGTCCTTTCCATGTCACCTGTGTTTACATTCACCTCACCTCTCTCTTGCCCACTTGCTTTGTAAGCGAGATGAAAACAGTTTAATTTGTCAAAGCATTAGTAACAGTGGCCTAAATAATCTTTGCACACTTAAATTGTCATTGCATTAGATAACAAAATATCAAACCAAGTGGCATTTATTTTGAAGTAAGATATCACCAGCACACTTTAAAAGCTAAAGATTTCACTTCAAGAAATTTTCTAGGTTTTAACTAAAACACCAGTCGATTAAAGGAATAGTTCACCCAAAAAAAGAACATTTACTCACCCTCAGGCCATCTAAATGTAGCAGTTTGTTTCTAAGGAGTTTGTTTCTACATCAGAACAGATTTGGAGAAATTTAGCATTCCATCACTTGCTCATCAATGGATCCTCTGCAGTGAATGGGTGCCGTCAGAATGAGAGTCCAAACAGCAGATAAAAGCATCTCAAGAGTCCACAGCACAACTCCAGTCCATCAATTAATGTCTTGTGAAATGAAAAGCCGCGTGTTTGTAAGAAACAAATCCATCATTAAAGGGGTGGTGAATCAGCTATTTTCGAAGGCTTGATTGTGTTTATGAGGTGCACTGTGCAGAACCGAGCAGAACCTGTACAAGCACGGCTCTTACAGGACGTTTCGGAATGGTATGTTTTTTTGTTTGTAGTTTTCACATACTTTGTAGATACGTTGCTATTTGTAAATGCTACTGCTGTTTATGTTAGCTTTTGATATACGGTTTTATCCTCATTAAAGCTTTAGTACAGCAGAATACATGATTGTGTTGTAGCATTTTTGTAGAGTAATTATTTAATTTATAACAGTAAGTAACACTCTACTACAACAACTCTTCCTCTTCTCTAAAGCAGCCCAACATGGCCTCACCCCCTTTGTTGCATGTTCCCGAGGCAGGGTTTGTGATGTCACCAATCCAGGAAGAAGCTCGTTGTAGTCCCTACCAGCCATGTGTTGTAGGCCTTAAAAAGCAAATTCTGTCAAATAAAATATCTCCCTTTGCATTGAACTTTGAGCGTCATAGCGTCATACAGATGTTGTTTATGCTCAAACAGCAACATTACACACTAACTAAAGTTAAAAAAGTGAAACCATAATCAAGGACCCCTTTAAGACATTAAACCATTGACTGGAGTGGTGTGGATTATTGTGATGTTTTTATCAGCTGTTTGGATTCTCATTCTGACGGCACCCATTCACTGCAGAGGATCCACTGGTGAAAAAAAATCTGTTCAGATGAAGAAACAAACTCGTCTACCTCTTGGATGGCCTGAGTGTCAGTACATTTTCATCAAGTTTTCATTTTTAGATGAACTGTTCCTTTTAGAGTCGTTGTAAAAACGGCTCAGACAAATGAAGCTTCTGAGAAAAGTTCAAGCAGCATTTGTACAAATGACAATTGCCTTGATAAATGTTTTATTTACTGCAATGACATTCAGAAAGTTTTAAGTGTTCAAATGCTTTTTGGCCAATATATATTATACACACACTCACACAAATACATACAATAGAAGATCGGTTGTAAATTCTGCTGCATATAAACGTTTAGAAGTATTTTTTGTTTGTGCAAAGTGTCCTGGTCACTTTCAGCTGTTACACAGTAACTGTCTCTGTTGCTTTCTTTGTTTTGTGTGCTTTGGGTTGGAAAATCTATATTCTGTTATGTTCTGTGTCTAATATTTACATTCTATCAGTGTCATTATTGCTTATATGGAGACATGGATACAAACACACACTCAGCGATGTCACCCGTCCTCATAAACGGATCACCACACACATAACAGCGGCTTCATTAAGCAGAGACAACAGAACATGAGTGAGGTGTCTGGAGCAGAGCCAGCTCACCACGAGAACAAAGGGAGTCAAAGACAGCAATGAGAGAATGCCAGAGACACTGCCATTAACAGTCAGATAGATAGATAGATAGATAGATAGATAGATAGATAGTGTGTATATCAGCACCTTTACAGCAGCTTTGAATGCAGCTCATCCAATCATATTGTGATCATATGTTCATGTTGTGGGTGAAGATATAGGCAATATATGTATTCCCGAGTGCAGTGAGATGTGGAGTGGGACAGGAAGGTCGTGACAGCATTGTGTCATCATCACTCCTGTTGATTGCTGTGAAGACATTTGTGAAGTCCGAGGTCTTCTCAAAACCTGTGAATGACACTTTCATGTCTTTTACTCTTTTTTTTCTCACACATTTGCTCTCTTTCGATCTCTCACACCAGTAGGGAGTCCGATCGCACTCTCTGTTTTTCTGTGAAATTTGCTATGCTAACTCTATGTGCTAATCTGTGTATGTTATTTCCTGCGTGATCTGGAGAATGTTTCATTGCATGTTTGTTCGTCTTTCTTATTCTCCATTGCTGTGTGTAATTTGTGGTTCAGAGATCATAGAGCGTGTGGCGGAGGGCCGCTGGCCGTACCTGCGTCCGCTGCTGTGTCCTCAGAGCCACAGCGATGAGTTGGGACAGCTGATGCAGCGCTGCTGGTCAGAGGACGTCAACGAGAGGCCCGACTTCAACCAGATTAAAGTACTGCTCCGCAAGAATAACCGGTACCTGACACACAAATCAGCTCATACACAAGAGCTCAAAGGACTTGACACACTGACAGATAACAGATTTTTTTTACATCGAGATTTTAAGATGAAATTTGGTTACACTTTAAGGTCCAATTCTCATTATTAACTAATTATTACCTACGACTTTTGCCTCAATAAACTGCTAATTTGCTGCTTATTAAGAGTAAGGTAGATGTTGTTAGGTATGGGGTAGGATTAAAGGATGTAAAATATGGTTATAGGTACTAATAAACAGCTAATATTCTAGCAGTTAGATTAATAGTTAGAATTGGTCCTTACAATAAAGTGTTACCTGAAATTTATATGCATAATGT